GAACGCGCGAACCCGACCTTCAGGACTTGCGGCGGCTTGTTCTTCTGAAAGCGAATGCCTGCAGGTGCAATTCACGTTCGCCACGGGAGCAAGTTAGCGGTCGCTTCCAAACGTCAGGGTCACAACTTGAGACCGTCGCTGAAAAATAAAATAAAAGAAAAGAAAAAGAGATGACTTCCCTCCTCCTCCTCCCCAACCACCACCACCACCACCATACTGGGGCATTTGATTGTAATCATTGCGAAAAATTGCAACTAGGGAAAAGGTTTACTTGCAATAAAGTAGCAACTGGGTATAGTTTTCCCGTATTTTTCTTGGTAGTCTTAACTGCTGTAACCGTGTTATAAATATATATATATATAATCAGGGACGTTCGAAAAGTACACGTGGATTTAATGTCGCTTAAGCTGTTTTATAAGCAAAGGATCATATTCTACAAGTGTTCATTCTACCAGTTCTTGGTTGGTACATGGTAAGCGATTTGTAAGTCTGTTAAATAGACGAACGCATAGGGCAAAATACATCGGTGTTTCGAACACCATGAAATGATTAATATGCTCGCTTATCTACAAAATACTTAACCGCGATTAGGCAGCGCGAAATGTATCCATTAGGTCTTGTACTCCCCTCAAGTATTCCACCCGCCTGTCCCCTGGTCAGACTCATTGTCTGGTCTGTCTCCCACTGAAAGTGCCTCCCGGGTCAGAGGGAGAAGTAGAGGGAGCAAACTCTTGAAAGCGCCCAGCACAGGTAAAAACGGTGGTGGGTTGTAGGGGACTGAGAGAGGGAGGTGTAGGGGTGGTGTAAGCGGGCAGAACGAATAGAGAAGGTGAGAGAACCGAGGGATTTCAACCCTCCGCACCCCTGAGCGACATCCTTTTCAGCGAACGTTGGACGAAGGCTTGCTAAGAGCCCGGAGAAAAGATATCCGCGCGGAGAGCAAACCCAGTTCTTTCCTTTTCAAAGATTTGCACAGTGAGATAATTAGACCGAAAGATACGAGGGACTTTTCTAGAAACGAAATGCCATTAAAAGAAAGCCCAGGATTAGGGACCTAAAGGGAACGGAGGAGAGGAGACTCGGGCGCCTTCCCGAAATTGGTCATCTAGCGGGTGTTTTGTGTTGAATGTGATTTAACTCAAGGGTGTGAAAGTGAGGTGTCAGGTGCCAAGATCTGGAAACATCTGACTCTCAGTGGCCCTGGTCCTCCTCTTCCCCCTCCCGTTTGATACAATAAAGTTATGGTTTTTGCACCTGTATTCCTAAGTTTGGCGATCTTGACTGAGGCTTATCTTGTCCCACAAATTTGAGTTCTGTTGCACAAATTAATGATGTGATTACTGCAGTTCTAAAATTCCCCTTGCAGCATTTTGGGAACAAACGTGGGGTCTTTTAACATTCTCCTTGATCTGGTTTTCTCTTCATTAGAGCACGTTGATTTTTCAAGATCAATGGCCACATTTCATTTGTGGCTTCTCTGAATCCTTTGAGGTGCAGCTTCCAATTACTTAAAAAGTTTCTGGTCACTCCAGTGTTTGGGTTCTCTTAGAAAGTCACCAAAGCATGACACCACTTAAAAAAAGTTTCTCGGTGAAACACGGGAAGCTCTGTTATTTTAAGAAAGTTGTTCGTCTAAGAAGCCTAAATGCACATACTTCATATCAAGTCCAATATTTTGCCCTATCTGAAAGATTATAATTGCTACACAGTTTCTGGTGCAAAGGCAAGACAAGACGGCTGCCCTGAGAAGTACTAGTCTATTTTCAATTGCTGGGGCAGACGGCACATACCATGCATCTGCAGGCAGCCTTGTTGGGCTGCTTCCCTAACTAGGATGCTGTGGTGAGCTGGCAGCACATTCAAGTGTGTATGAGAATACTGCACCCTGAGAGTGGAGGCCAAGGGCAAAATCCTTGTAAATTTCAGTACCTTTCTCAGCATCGGGCTGGCATCAGGCAGGCCCACCTAAGGTCACTGTGTGTGACACATATTTTCAAGCCAGTAGAGCAAAACAGAGCTGAAAACAAGGGCAAATTTAGGCCCTCCAACCTTGAAGTCATCTATGAAAGGGAACTGCTTTACCAGATAACAATTATTCTCGCCTGGTCAGCCACACAAAGTGCAGAGTATTTCTTGGCTTGCTCCAATAGGTGCTACTTATTTGTTTCATCAGAAGTTCCGAGGTAGGAAATCTAAGACCCAAAGCCCCCTTTCTGGAAGGTTAGAATGTTTAAATCGATCTCTGTTATTAAGGGGCAATTTATGTAAGAGCTTTTATTTCATGAGTGGTGTTCTTAGTGCTTACTGCAGGCCCAAGGATGAAGGCTGCTTTTATTGCAGGAACTTGAGAAGAAGATTGCATACTTAAGTAACCAGTTTCCCTATAAGCAGTGGTCAAAAAACTCACTATTTTAACGTCCTCCTTGTGAGGGTTAAATTGATGTTTGCAGGCTTTTCTTTTAAGGAATTTTAAAAAAAAACCTTACATTTTCTTCATGTTGGTTTGATTGACAATTCCTGCCCCCCGCCCCAAGGATAGAGTTAGATCTATCCACTTCTCTCATGAAAATCATCTTTTAAATGAACTACAGCCCTGGCCAGTTTGGCTCAGTGGATAGAGTGTCGGCCTGCGGACTCAAGGGTCCCGGTTTGATTCCGGTCAAGGGCACCTGCCCGGGTTGTGGGCTCTGTCCCCAGTAGCGGGCGTGCAGGAGGCAGCTGATCAATGATTCCCTCTCATCATTGATGTTTCTATCTCTCCCTCTCCCTTCCTCTCTGAAATCAATAACAATATATTTTAAAAAATAAATAAATAAAATGAACTACACCCCCATCTTCTAGAAGGAAATGACACATAGTGGATGCACAATAAATGGTTTGGAATGAATTTCTTGTTGAAATTAATGAACTCACTGTCTCTTTCCATAAATACATGTAAATTTAGATATATTGGAATATTTAAAATTGAAATAA